TAAGTCAAAGTTTTGAAGTCAAAGGAGGAGAATGGGTAGAACTTTACATTGTTTTTGTTTTATTATTGAATTTCAAGTCATTTTATTCAAATTTGTGATGTGTTTCATGTGTAGTGTTGGGAAGTGTCCAACAAGTGTCATGTCATTACCTTATTAGAAGTGTCCGCACTTCACAGCTATTGACCAAAGCTCCCCCAATTTCCTCTTGTGAATATTCTAATTGGGATACCTGAATTGGTTTCTCTCAACTTTCATTTTTTTTAATTATTGATTCCTTTAAATTGTCATCACTTGATATTCAGTCCTGATGACTATCACCTTTGAAATGCATTCACTACTTGCTTTCTTTGTAACAAGGAGGAAAACTTATGAAAAATATTGGGAATTTTTATTTTTTGATCAGCAACCAACAAAGAAGAATATTGGGAACTTTGTCTTGATTCTTTTTCCTACTTATTTAATGGCTTCGTGATTAAAAGAAAGGTTAAATCTTCTCTATCTGATTCCTTATAGATTATTCTCTAGTTTTGTTTTTTGGTGCTTATTGAATTGATTGCTAACCAGCTGCAATACTTCAATAGCACATTTTTCATTAACCATGGAAATTTTCTCGCTGTGCTATGTTTCATAAATAAATATTTTTAATGTTAATATTTTTTGTCACATCACTTCCGAAAACTAATTATCTTACTGCAGCAATGGGAAGAACAACCTGACTAGTATTTATTTTATTGAACCCCTCCTGATCATGCCTTGAATTAGAAAGTACTACTTTTATCTTTGTAACTTCTCATTTTCTCCTCTGTAATTTATGAATGGTCATCATTCTAGTAGTAACACCTTATTTCGCATAAAATATATTATTGCTATATGCCCAATTTATATTATTGCATAAACTGAAGTTGAGTTGCTTGATCAACTGAGTTTTAGTTTGGGATTTAAAGCATTTATGTAAAACCGTTATTTGATGGGTCCCACAGTGATTTTTCCTACAATAACCTTACATGGCAAGGTCCTGATCAACCTGCTTGTCAGGAGAACGTGTAAGAATACTTTTTTCTACTTTAATCCTGCTATATACTTCCAGTTAAGTGGCAATTTTTGTAATTTTGACAATTATCTTTATCTTTCATTTTATTAGGAATCTATACATAAATTTGTTTAAAAGCTCTCTGAAGGAGAACCCCTTGTAAGATGCTCCTTTATTTATTTTTTATTTCCTCATTTTCTAAAGTTTCATAATTAGCTTCTACTTTATCAACTGAAGTAGAAGGAGATTTCTACTTGGGTAGTCATTTTCTTGCTTAGTGTACATTTATGCTAATTGTTGTTTGGCTGATTCCATAACAGAAAGAGAATTCTTCCATGTATGAAGGATTTCAATTGTCCAAGATGTAAGTATGTTCTTTTGAAGCATCAGTAGTGTGAACTATCTTTATTTTCTTGATGTCAGACAGCACTATAATGATTTTAATACTGAATTTCTGTGGGTTTTATTGTGTTTTAAAGCTGAAAATCAGTAAGAATTTTAGGGTTTCAATTACTTTAGGGATGACCTAGGTTTAAGGTTGATAAAAATGGGGAAAAGAAGATCAAAACATGGGCTGTTCAGGAGCTTTGAATAGAGCTTGTGAATAGTAAACTGGAAAAGAAAAAACAAAAAGAAATCTAGGCATCACACCATGATTCCATATGCATTCCACCTAGGGTTAGGGTTGCATTATACAAACTTGAAAGAGGCTTCAAATGAAAGTTTATAAAGGCCTCATATGGGAATTTTTCTGTTTCCAACTCTGAGATATACCACACGAATTTTTCTGAGAGATCAGATTTAGCTCATAATTTTTTTGATAAATAAAGATTACACTCTATTCAAAACTAAGACAAATAATTTAGGTCATAAATTTTACACAAATGTCAATGTGTAGTGGTTAAAAAATTTCTTGTCCTAAGGAATACTGGATACGTAAGTTGTCCATCTTCACTACAGATGTGACTGTGTGTGGCATCTTCATCCAAATTCACTAATCACCTTTTTCTTCTTTACTGGACCAAGTCTGTGAAAACCAGGAAAGTTGCCAGAAAAAATATACAAGAGCCAATTATGGTTACTATGAAATTCTAACTTCCATCTTAGAATTATTGAAATGTGCTGTTCTTCCTTTTTTTCTCCTCGAATATTTGTGTGCACATCCATGGTGCAAGATAAGTTAAGAAATTAAAGAATCAACAAATGGTATGAACAAAATACCAAAATACACCAATCCCATGTGCAACCTCTCAAGAAATTGATACATTAATTCTATGAATAAAAAGTACAACATATATAAAATACCTCAAGTAGCATGTGAAGAACTAGAAAGGAAAAAAAATCCCAACAAATTGAGAGAGCCAACAACTATTGGAAGCCCTTCCCATTACTTCAAAAAAGAGAAGAAAAAAAAATGCTTACCACTTATTGCTAGTAATTTTGTACTAATAAGCTTGATTGCTTCAAATCGCTTATATAAGCACATTAATTGTTCAGGCAATGATAATAAGAACAGAACAAAATATAGCAGCACTCTCAACCCATGCCATGATAATTTATATATGTGCACATACATGTATGTATTTATAGATATATACCTTCACATTTGTGTGGCCGGTGAATGAGTGAAGAGGACTGTCAAGAACCCGGGATGAGGCCATTGACAAATCCCAAGCTTCAGTGTGTTGTCTGTCGATGCAAAAACAAGATTTGTTGAATCTATGAACTTCACGTAGCTCACAGTTTTGTTGTGTCCAATCATTGTACACAGTGGCATTTTTGTGTTACGGAGATCATAGTAATAAATTCTATGATCCGCTGAACCAAATGCAAGGTAACGACTAGAATCAACAGGAAACTGTAGGCATCTTGGAATTTATTCTTGGTGGTGGAAAATGTATTTATACCCAGAATTGGAACAATTTGAGGTCAAAGCTTAAAAAGCAAGTACTGACTTATTCAAATGTATGCTTCATCTTATGTTTTGATATTGCTATGCCTTGCTTCAGGGCAGCCCATTTGTTATTCTCCCTAAAACTTTTCTCTCTCTTTTCCTCTAAAAGCTGGAGTTCTATCTTTCAGGCAGACTATGAAAGATTATGAAATGGGTTGGCGGAGCTAGCCATTAAGAAATCTATCAGACTATGAAATGAAAATCTTGAAACCAAAGCCTAAACTACAATCACACATCATTACCTTCCAACATTTGGATCAAATCCTATGACATAATAAGTTGTGAACACCCAAATAGCAACTTCTATAAAAGTTATCGGGATCTTGAGGATCCATGTGGATAAAGAGTATGCCTAAGCCGGAAAGAAGAGAAGGTCTCTTTGCTTGTAGAAGGTGGGAAGCTTCAAGATGGTCATGACTAGCTCCGCAAACCCATTAAACATAATCATAACAACTGTAAAGAACAAAGCGCCCATGCAAATCGTTTCATCTTCTGTTTTTTTCTTAGGCATCTTAATTCTTAGAAATACTGTCATTGTAATTAATGCCATAAGAGTAAGCTGAAACAGACACATTGATGTGAGTTAGAACAAAACTTCCAAAATTATTTCATAAATGTGATGTGATGTGAAAGTTACATGCTCATTCTTGGAAATGTACTCACTGGAGTCATCTTGAATATGTAGAAAAATGAATTCCTTTTCATGAGTAAATATTCTCTGGATATGAGAGCTGTCAACAGTTCCTTCTACTAACACCATACTTCTTAGTTGTTAAAGCTGCAGGGTGGCACTTGGCTTTGTCAAATGGAACAACAAGCTCATCTCCTAGTTGCTGGCCAACGTGAAATGCCTGAAATGCCTTTGCAAATTCCTTGACAGTAACAAAATTATATGGCTCATCTTTGTTTGCCCAGTACTGTTATTAATCTTTCTTTGATGTCACCTGTGATTCCAACCCAAAACATTTTGAGTACTTGAAAGTCCAGTGAGTTCTAAACCATAACAAAATAGTGTATTTGATGAATATTTGAGTTCAATAAATTACTTCCTGTAAAAATTCTACAATTTGCCCATGTATTCAAAGAACTCTAGCACATTTTCGCAGACTAATGTCGTCAAACGAAGGATGTGGGTAGACTGCCTGAGTGAATTCACAATTTGAAAAGTTGTAGAACTGTCCAAGCCAGTTGATATCTCATCCATGAAGAGCACCCTGGCAGGTCCAACCGGCATCTCCTCTGTATCATATTTCATCAAAATAGGTAATAATAATAATAATAAGGTGTAATTATCAAACACGAAGTTAGCAGGTTAGGTAATTACCTGTCGTGACTCGCTTTTTCTGCCTACCAGATATACCAAATTGTTTTAGTAGTTCTAGCTTTTGATTATGCCAAATTGTTTCAACCTATTTGACATGAAACTTGAGACTATTTCAACAATATGCATAGGGTTGTGTTAGTCTTTCCGAATATGAAATGTATTGTTGTTTATATGATTAGGCAAAGTTATAATTTCTAGCTGGGTTGTTTAAATTTTTTGATTTTTATGGGCAAATTGAGTTATAGTAGGCCATTCATAGAGTTACATTGTTTGTTTTGCTGAAAAAATCTAAGGGTTTATATAATCAAAACAATAATTTTCTTTGAGCTGGCCAGGCAATTTTGAATGACTCATGTGAGATCCAAGGTGGCAATTTTCTTCTATCACTATTAGTGTCATGTTTTGGTCCTATAATCTATTACCAATTACTTGGAGAAGGTGAGCCACCAGATTAGGTGTAAGATGTTATTAAGAACTCATCAAGCACTTGATGTCATTAGTTTTATAAGTTATGCTTTTTACATTGTTTCATGGAAAAAAAAAAAACATTTTTGCTCGTAGTTTTTCACTGCATGCAAGGCAATTTCTTCACTCATTGTGTTTTTATTTATATTTTAAGGGTTAATATACTTATTAAAAGAAATAATTTAAGAATTAATATAGATCCCTATGTCAAATCTTTAGGTGGTTGTTGCAACAATTGCTTTTGGAATGGGGATTGACAAGTTAAATGTACGAAGAATCATTCATTATGGTTGGCCACAGGTATATTCCTTAGATTTGATGTTGGAAGTTAAATTTCTTTCTTCCATAAAATCTAAGGTGTTCTGTAATTGTTCTTTTTCTAATAACACTTTCTTTGTCTATGTGATTTGCAGCCTGGCACTTACCTTGATCAGAAGGAGAAGCTCATCAAGTACAGTGATTTTGTCAACAAAGAGCTTATATTGTTTTCTATGGCAGATCTTCAACGGTCAATTCCTTCAATGGTTGACGGCCTAAAACCAGGTCAAAGGAAGATCCTTTTCTGTTCTTTCAAGCGCAACTTTGGGAAGGAAGCAAAAGTTGCTCAATTCTCTGGGTATGTATCTGAGCATAACCAGAGTTTGTTTTTGTGTATATCCTAATGTTGTGCTCTTCATGGGTACGGTTACACAACGGCCACATTAGTCAATCGTGACAGAATATCTACGAAGGTAAAGACATTTTTTAGTTCCTAATGCATTTTCCCGCAGTCTTGATGGCTGTGCCACTGCCATCCTTCTCACATGGGTTGATACTGCAACGAGAGAGGGGTTGCTGGACGCAGTCAAAATTGTTGTGAATTTAGCAATTTGCTTCCTGAATTATTTTATTATTTGAACTACTTCTATCTAAAGCAAGTAATGGAAGGCTAACTTTGCACAAATCCTGATTTTGTGGAACAGGGGTAGTCTATACCGCCTCATCCATAGGGCAGATGCTGGTGAAGTTTTGGACCAAAGGAGGCGCTTACGCATGGCTCTGGATGTGGTTTGTAGTGGGCTTTACTGTTATGAACCTTTTCTATTGTTAACACTTGCTGTTGTATTATTAATTTATGATATTGCACTCGATGCAGGCCAAGGGTATTAACTATCTTCATTGTCTTAGCCCTCCGGTAGTTCACTGGGATCTTAAATCTCCAAATCTGTTGGTTGATAAAAATTGGACGGTGAAGGTACATCTATGAATGTTATAATCTTTTCCCTGTTGCTAGTCAAACAACGAACTTGAGCTTTGTCTTATACATTATGCTCAGGTATGTGATTTTGGGTTGTCCAGATTCAAAGCAAACACTTTCATATCGTCAAAATCTGTTGCTGGAACAGTAAGTCTCTCTCTCTCTCTCTGAGCATGAAGTTATATTATTGGACCAGAACATAAAATAAAACTTACTTCTGAGCATAAAGTTATATTATTAGACCAGAACATAAAATAAAACTTTCCGATGAGAATGCTACTCATGCCTACTGACTTGAGCTGGACCTACATCCCAAACTCTGTATCTAGGTGTCCTGATTCATGAGTAAATTTCTACGTAAGTGATCAAATCCACCAAGCAACTTCATGCTAATAGCGGCATTCTAATTCAGTCAAACACTTACTTTCATACTATTTCTATCTACTGTGCATATGTAGTTTTGAGTGTTTCAATTATTATATGATGTACTTATTCAGTTTTCATTTTATTTTTCACATTCATACAGTTGTTATCTATGCATTTCTAGTTTTGAGGGCTGAATCTTGGCTAAATGAACTACTGCCCGAATAAATGTTTTTCCATCCTGTTATTGTTATTGCTGTTAGTTTTTTTCTCTGTCAAGACACGAAAAGGACAAATCACAGCTCATTTATATGACAGAGAGTCTTGAATTTTGTTCACAAATAGTATATAATTTTTCTCCCAATTTTAGTAGTTTTTCACTGCATGCAAGGCAATTTCTTCACTCATTGTGTTTTTATTTATATTTTAAGAGTTAATATACTTATTAAAAGAAATAATTTAAGAATTAATATAGATCCCTATGTCAAATCTTTAGGTGGTTGTTGCAACAATTGCTTTTGGAAGGGGATTGACAAGTTAAATGTACGAAGAATCATTCATTATGGTTGGCCACAGGTATATTCCTTAGATTTGATGTTGGAAGTTAAATTTCTTTCTTCCATAAAATCTAAGGTGTTCTGTAATTGTTCTTTTTCTAATAACACTTTCTTTGTCTATGTGATTTGCAGCCTGGCACTTACCTTGATCAGAAGGAGAAGCTCATCAAGTACAGTGATTTTGTCAACAAAGAGCTTATATTGTTTTCTATGGCAGATCTTCAACGGTCAATTCCTTCAATGGTTGATGGCCTAAAACCAGGTCAAAGGAAGATCCTTTTTTGTTCTTTCAAGCGCAACTTTGGGAAGGAAGCAAAAGTTGCTCAATTCTCTGGGTATGTATCTGAGCATAACCAGAGTTTGTTTTTGTGTATATCCTAATGTTGTGCTCTTCATGGGTACGGTTACACAACGGCCACATTAGTCAATCGTGACAGAATATCTACGAAGGTAAAGACATTTTTTAGTTCCTAATGCATTGTCCCGCAGTCTTGATGGCTGTGCCACTGCCATCCTTCTCACATGGGTTGATACTGCAACGAGAGAGGGGTTGCTGGACGCAGTCAAAATTGTTGTGAATTTAGCAATTTGCTTCCTGAATTATTTTATTATTTGAACTACTTCTATCTAAAGCAAGTAATGGAAGGCTAACTTTGCACAAATCCTGATTTTGTGGAACAGGGGTAGTCTATACCGCCTCATCCATAGGGTAGATGCTGGTGAAGTTTTGGACCAAAAGAGGCGCTTACGCATGGCTCTGGATGTGGTTTGTAGTGGGCTTTACTGTTATGAACCTTTTCTATTGTTAACACTTGCTGTTGTGTTATTAATTTATGATATTGCACTCGATGCAGGCCAAGTGTATTAACTATCTTCATTGTCTTAGCCCTCTGGTAGTTCACTAGGATCTTAAATCTCCAAATCTGTTGGTTGATAAAAATTGGACGGTGAAGGTACATCTATGAATGTTATAATCTTTTCCCTGTTGCTAGTCAAACAACGAACTTGAGCTTTGTCTTATACATTATGCTCAGGTATGTGATTTTGGGTTGTCCAGATTCAAAGCAAACACTTTCATATCGTCAAAATTTGTTGCTGGAACAGTAAGTCTCTCTCTTTCTCTCTCTCTCTCTCTCTCTCTGTGAGCATGAAGTTATATTATTGGACCAGAACATAAAATAAAACTTACTTCTGAGCATAAAGTTATATTATTAGACCAGAACATAAAATAAAACTTTCTGATGAGAATGCTAGTCATGCCTACTGACTTGAGCTGGACTTCCATCCCAAACTCTGTATCTAGGTGTCCTGATTCATGAGTAAATTTCTACGTGCTTCTGATGCTAAATTGAAAAAGTGCTACGTAAGTGATCAAATCCACCAAGCAACTTCATGCTAATAGCGGCATTCTAATTCAGTCAAACACTTACTTTCATACTATTTCTATCTACTGTGCATATGTAGTTTTGAGTGTTTCAATTATTATATGATGTACTTATTCAGTTTTCATTTTATTTTTCACATTCATACAGTTGTTATCTATGCATTTCTAGTTTTGAGGGCTGAATCTTGGCTAAATGAACTACTGCCCGAATAAATGTTTTTCCATCCTGTTATTGTTATTGCTGTTAGTTTTTTTCTCTGTCAAGACACGAAAAGGACAAATCACAGCTCATTTATATGACAGAGAGTCTTGAATTTTGTTCACAAATAGTATATAATTTTTTATCATCATGCAGGTGGATTCTGTAGTTTACCTTGTTGACGCGTACGACAAAGAGAGATTTGCAGAGGCCAGAAAGGAGCTGGATGCCCTACATAAAAAAGAACAACAATACTCAACCTTGTTAACACCAGATGTTCTTTTTTTTGAAATTGATGCTGATTATGTCAAATTTTTGTTGGAATGAATTGTTTTTTGGTTTTGGGGGTTTAGAATAGGGTTTTGTGAATCGTTCCTTGTTTTTGGAATTAATGTTGCTGCTGCTGAGTTATGTGTTGAAACTTGGATATAGAAAATTTTATAATAAGACCTGTTTTGATTATGAATTCGTCCTGTTTTGATTATGAATTCGTTAAATACACAGGTGTATTATTTTCCTGCTTTGGCGACCAATTTATTAGTCGCGGCATCCAAAATAAATTTTTTTCACAAAAAATGATAATTGCCGACCAAGCGTTTTGGTCGCAAAAAATACATCTATTGTCGACCAAAACAGCTCTTGGTCGTGGAAACTCACTTTTGCCGACCAAAAGTTTTGGTCGCGATTTTTGTCGTTGAATGTGATAATTGGCGACCAAACTTTTTGGTCGTGGAATGTGACAATTGGCAACTAAGATATTTGGTTGGAAAAATATCACTTTTCGCTACCAAAGTGTTTTAGCGACAAAATAAATTAGTCGCGGTAATTAAATATTTAGCGACCAAAAATTTAGTCGGCAAATCCAACTTTTGCCGACCAACGAAAATTTTGGTCGCGAATTACTTTTGCCGACCCTCAATTGGCGACGAAACTAGCGACCAAAAATTTTGGTCGCGGATAACTTTTGCCGACCAAAAATAGACTTTTAGCGACCAATTTTTTTGTTGCTAAAAGTGTTAATTCTTGTAGTGAAACCACTTGCACCTATTTGGGCGGTTTCGCAAAATCGTTGAGATCGGATGCGGGTTAGGATTTTCTCATTTTGCGGGTTACGGGCGGGTCGCGAGTTTTACCCGCACCCGCACTAACCTGCTCGCATCTTTATAAGGACCGTTAGATTTTCGTGTAAGTTTTATAGAAGGAAAAGATAAAGTTGGTGGCAAATTTTTTCTATCTTAGAATCCTTCTCAGCATTTGAATTCTCTGTTGTCTTCGAACAAAGTTTCAAGGTCTGTTTCACAAATTATTTTATATGTTTTCTAGACCACAAAATAGGGGTACAAAACCTTTTTTTTTTCTTTTTTTCTTGAAAATTCTTAGAAAGAGCACTGAGATTTTCTATGAATATTGAAAATTAAATAACTAATATAATTTTCATTTTCTATGGAGTTTGCAAGTTTGCAAATGTTTTTATTTTATTTTATTTAATGGATTTGGATGAAATTTGACAACAATTTATTTTGGCTCCCACCTTGTTATTATTATTACATTTTGGTTTTTGGATGAATGCAAAAATTAATGAAGAATTACTTTTAAGAAAATTTAGAATTTTAAATGATTTTATTTTAATTATGTTGTTGGATACTAGATAATGAATGAATTTTTAAAAGAAAAAGTCCAATCCGCAACCGAACTATCAAAAACCAATCTGCAAGCATCCAGATGTCATCTATCTATCTATTTGCCTATTTATTCAATATCACGTGCCTATTGATCGCTGGGTAAACTGTGAGTTTTGCTAGTTAGGTAGTTTCAGATTTAATAGGGGTCATTCAGAACTGATCCCACAACCTTAGAAAAACTCTTTGAATTAATATTTTGTCATCGAACAATTAAATTGTTCTATGGACTTATCATCTACCCTCACTACATCAATAGAATTATGAAAATTCAAAATAATAATAATAGTAATTATTGATTCGTCAGTTTGAAGAAAATCCCGGAATTGGGGTCACTGTCTCTAGCACAGTAATGACTGTTGTGCCTCAATTTGATGTGCATTATGGGCTTTTTTTTATTATCGGAATCGTTCATTTTGTAGGGTTTGTTGAGTACTTCATGTCTACCAAAAATAATATTAATCGGCTATCAATAACTGTATGATCGATAACCAAAAATATAAACAATAAGTTTTTCTTTTGAGAAATAGCATAAAAAATATGCAATTCGATTATATAGTTATTGATATCCGATTAATATGATTTTTGGTAGGCATGAAGTACTCAACAAACCCTACAAAATGAACAGTTCAAATCATAAAAATAAGCTCATAATGTATCTCAAATTGAGGCATAACAGTCACTACTGTGCCTTTAGGACAGCAGTGACCCCATTTCCGAAAATCCCAATTCACAAGCTTTAATCGATGAGCATCAAATCAAAATTTGATAAGCAAGGGTCACACACACATGATTAGATTGTGCAAATAGGATTAATGGTAAGAAGATAAAAATCAATCACAGAAGTGACACAAATCATGAATAAAGAAAAGGAAACCCAGAATGGGAGGACAGAGCTCAAACAAATCCCTGTAGCTGAGGAACAAGAGAGAACCACCTGAAACCACAGCTCCATTTCTCAGGCAATGACGGAGATTTAGGAAGCCAATGCCAAGTCCTCCTTGAAATCTTGTAATACAAGATCTCAGGCCAACTATAGCAGCATACACAAATCAAACCCTGATGCCAAAAGCAATAAACATGCTCGTAATTGTGGTAACAAACTGACATGAATTTCCTACATATCATCTCTGGAACACTCCCAATCTCAATCCAATTCTGTGCTCCTCCATCTTCTGATCTACTACTCAATTCCCACAATTTCATGTTCCTCGAAATCCCATTTTGCCCTATTCCTCCAATCAAGTAGAGCTTTTCGTCCCCATCACTCGCCAACCGAACAAACATAAGCTCACTGGGTAACTCAATAATCGGCCTCTTCCAATTCCCAGTTTCCAGATCGAAACACAGAATTGAAAAAGGCTCTGGGGTTGTCAAATACAAGTACCCATTATAGGACACACCTTCTTGATGATAATCATCACCCAGAATCGGATCAATTCCGTCGAATTGTTTCCAGAGATCAAGCCCAGAGTCATAGACAAAAGCATGGTTTGACGACCCATAAGAAGGACAAAGCATGAAGAGTTTGTACCCACTTGATGTGGAAACCAGAGTGAGGAGCTCAAAGGCAAATGGATGAGTAGGGAATTTGATAATTCTTGAAGATCTTGCAAAGAGGTTGAAGACAACGAAAGAAGACGAGTTTGGGAGAGAGAAACAGAGGAGGCCATGGGAGATGGAGAGGAGGATTGGCTGTGCAGTAGAAGAGGAATAGGAGGAAGGTGAGCAGGATAGCAGGGGGGAGAGGGAGAGAGAGAAGTTGCGCCAGGTGTTGAGGATAGTGTCGTAGAGAGAATAATGGTGATGGAAGTTTGGGTGTGAAAGCAAGAGAAAAGAAGAGAAAGGTGTAGAAGAGGAAAAGGAAGAAGAGTGTTTGGAGATGAAGAGGGGAGAGAAGATGAGAGAATTGAAGTGTTTAGAGGTTGATCTGAGGCTCAAGAAAGTCTTCAATGGTAGGCAAGATAGTATGTATTCGAGGAGGTTCTCCGGCAACTGGCTCCATATTCCGGGATCCATTTCCGGAGAATGTGAACAAGTCTTGTTTTTGTGTACTTCCACCACCGCCGCCATCATCAAAGCCTCTAAATCTAAGCCAAGTCTTTGATCCAAAACGTGTGGGGTTTTAACGTGGAAATTTTGCTTACCCATGGATTAAAATAAGGTCAGAGAGACAACTGTGCTTTGCTCATGCTTATACAATGCTTTGTCTATGAAGTAAAAGGGAAATTATGTGGTGTTTTAACAAATTGGTAAAAAGTTAATTTTTTAATTTTTTTAGTTTATTTTATCTTTTTGTCAGTAAAAAATATGATAGACGATGTGATCCAAAATGGGTAAAAAAACTAAAAGTTAACTTTTTACTTGCTTCTCAAAAGACTCCTATATCTTAGAAATTTCTCATTCATCATCCTTAAAAACTATTCTTAATGATGCCACCCGACCCAATCCGATCTACTATCACCCCTAATTCTTAATGATGTGTAGTGTCAAATTTTAATTTATCAAATATTTTATCATGTAGAATTTAACCTCAATGTCACATTATTAAAGGTGGTTTAGCTGAGGTAAATTAGGGGATGAGCATTGTCTTGGTTAGGACGTTTGTAATTTTAAGTTATCATATATTAGTAGTTATGATTTGATACACATTCTATTATTAGTTATGATTCATTATGATGATATTATTTGATTATAATTTAAAATATTTTTAGTTATACCTTATATTGTTTTTGGTTACAAATTTTTTTTATTTTATTATTATGACTTTAAAAAGATTTAGGCCTTGTTTGGCATGATCTAAAAAAGTTAAAAAGTCACTATCTTATTTAAGTCACATCATTTTATTTAAGTCACGTCATATCTCTAACACATCACTTCAAACCCAACCCATACTTAACCCATATTTCATAAAAAATCAAAAAATATATTTATTTAGATCATCCCAAACCACCTCTTAATTATGACATTTGTAGCCTACAAATCTAAGTAAAAATATGGGCAAATTATATTTTTGACCCATGTAAGTCAAATTTTACTTTTGGTTCTATTGTTTTAATTTAAACATTTTGATTCCTAAGGTGTCGTTTGGTAACACTTACGTTTTCAATTTTCTGTTTATATTTACAAAAATTTAAAAAACTCAAATAAAAACTTGTTTGGTAAAATTTCTGATTTATAAATAAGTGGACTCAGTTTATAAATTTGGCCAAAAAATGAAAACACAAAAAATGTGTTTCCGTTTTTAGTTTTCAGTTTTTTTTTTTTTTTACCACCCAACTCACCACCTGCCACCATTTTCCACTACCGTCTTCCACCACTACCACCCACCTCCCACCACCACCACCTGTCACCACCACTCACCAGCCACCTCCCACCACCCGCACCCACCAGCCACCCATTCGTCACTACCCACCCCTCGCCACCACCATCACCACCACCCACCACCCACCTGCCATCCCGAAGTCTGCTGACGGTTGTAGAGGCGGAAGAATGGTGGAAATTGCACCGGAGGTGGTAAACGAAGCAAGTTGTAGAACTCAGAAAGCTTGAGCAATGACGGATTTGAGGAAAAAAGCCAGAGAGAGAAAAAGCTAAAGGATTGAACAAAAAAGTGAAACGACGAAGAGAGGGAAAAACGTTTTTGTTAAAACTTGAAACGGCGGTAAACGAAATTAATGCGCCTAAAACAACGTGAGCTTCAGACGGCGCACGCATGCGCGAGACGATTTAGAAGCGCGTCACAAGCACGATCCCACCCACCACCACCCGCTACCCACCACCCACCGTCACCACTTTTCACCACCGCCTTCCGCCGCCACTTGCCACCACCTGTCATTTCTCACTCTTTTTTATATTTTAAATTTTTTTTAAACATTTTGTCAATTACGAAACGTGTTTGTAGTTTATGTTTTTCTAAAAATAAACAAAAACCAGTTTATAAAATTTTTGTAAATATAAACTGAAAACGTAAACGTTACCAAACACACCCTAAACTTTTGGTCTAATTTTATTTTAGTTTTTTTGTTCAAGTTGAAGGTTAAAATTAATAATTTTAGAACAGTCATTAATCTTATGAGATGTAGATAGAAAAAATTAACAAAAATTTGAACATAATGATAAAATTGAAACTAGACTTAAAATAGAAAGATCAAATTGTTCAAATTAAAATAATAAGGATCGAAGTAAAATTTGAATTAAATTATAAGGGTGAAAATTATAATCTACTCTAAAAATATTTATTAAATGTTTGAAATCTAAAATGTGTATGGCAAATTTGTTTCAATTGCGACTCACACCATGCATAAGGAAGTTTGAGAAACATTAGAGAGTCACAATTTATTCACAATGATATGGTAAGGGATTGAACCTTACACAATTAAATTTATGACAAATTAAAATTTTACACACAACTTGTCATGTCATAATGAGTAAAATTATATTAATTAAATTGTGAATCTCAATCTTTCTTCAAGAAGATTATATTGTACAATTAAATTTTGGACATTTTCTATAATATTTATTTTTTATATATTACACCTGTACTATATATTATAGCAAAGGGATTTTTTGTGAGGAGCTTTATGGGAGTTTCAAAACTTTCAACTAAATTTTTAAAATTTTGAATTAGAAAATAATTTTTAAAAATGTTATTGGCCAACACATTAATGTAATAATTATAAAAATACTAATTATTCTATGATATATGCTTTTCAAAAGGAAAGTTAAAACTCTTACAAAAATTCAAAATAATAGATTAAAATTAATTCTCCTTTCTCTTTTTCCTTCAATCTATTCTCTCTTTACGCAACCTTAACTATTACACAATTAAACTTGTTTTCACACCATATAAAACTTATTTATCGCTCAAAATATTGTTTCATACAATGGATCACGACAACATTTTTAAATTCGTTTGAGAGAGATATTCAAGGTTAGTTAATGTTTATTATTTTCTATTAATTATGTCCCAATTTTTTCTTCAGAATTCATGGCTAACTGTAATATAGTCAAGGAGGTGATGGCTGTAGGGTGGAAAGGAAGGGCAGCATCAAGGAATTTAAAGTGTAGATCCACTCCAAAATCATTTATCATTTGATAAATTTCTATTAGTAAGGTATGTTCTCTACTACAATATTTTCTATTGGATAAAGTACTATATTGAAAAATGTTAATGTTTTGGATTTTTCTAAATTTTTTTAGAGAAATATGATGGAGTGTTTGTGATGATTCAGAATGTAAAGAAGATACTTTTGTGTTTACATTTAAAAAATAAAAATAAATTGTGTGTTTATATATTTTTTTATAGCAATAAGTATTTTAATTGTTTTCACTATAACATTCTGGTATTTTCTTTTTCTTTTTTTTTTTTCTTTTTTTTTTTGGAGGTTATAACCTTGTTCATAGTTATTATATCTTGCAATGATTGTGCAAAATAGTAAGCTAATTAAAGTAATTTTTTTATATTTAGGTTAGGTTTACACAGTTTGCAAACATTTTTTTAAAAAAATAATTTTGCATGTCATAGCCTATATTCGGTATGATTTATTCAATTATATATATTTTTAAGAATTTATGTCAAAGTGTTTGGTATAACATATATTTTATAAGGTATAATTATTTTAAATAAATTAAAAATTAAGTGATGAATTTTTTTATTTTTTTACTTTTTGAGATTTTTTTTTTTAAAAATTTTATATTGTTAAATGTTCCACATATCATTATATCTTGCAATGATTGTCCAAAATTAGATTTATATAAGCTTAAGTTTAAATTTTAAACTCTCGAAAAGTGCTATTTTAGATATGATAATTGTTATTATAATTTTTTTTTCCCTTAAAATGTATTGTCATAATTGAAATATAATATTATTTGAAAATAATTTCTTTTTGTATTATTTGCAAGTAATGCTTAATTTGAAAAAGGAAACCCTACATCAAATAAATCTTTCCATGTTAATCTTTCTAGAATTTAAAATACAATTTTAAAAATCTTTTCATATTAGTCTTTGGAAGCAATATGGTTAAAGAAAATTTGTAAAGTATTATTAATGGATTGATTGACTTTTGTAGATGTAGGGTTTCTTTTCCAAATTAAGAATTATTTGTAAATAATACAAAAAGAATTATTTTCAAATAATATTGCATTACAATTATAATAACATACCCAATGAGTTAATTACCTAAAAGTTCTATTTACAAATGTTATGATAGCTTAGGTCTTATCCAAGATTTTTTAAACCAAAAAGTCCTATTTAGTAAAACTGAAAATATTATCAATTTTTTTCAATTTTTAAAAATAAGAACATTATTAATTTTGCATGGTAATGTTCAAAATAATTGTTTCACTAACTGATAAAAAAAAAAGAGTATAAGATATTAAACGTTTTTGCTCTTCTACTTATTAGTTTGATTCAACAATCCAATAAAATTGAGAACATTTCAGTTTTTTCTTTTTTCATTTTTCATTTTTTTTTCAGTTTTGCATATATCAATGTTCCATCATCATGCTCCTTTATAGACACAAAATTTTCAATTTTGCACAAAAATTAATTCAATTTTTTCAAAAAAAAAATATTTTTTTTTTGCACATAATTTTGTTTTAGTTTTTTTTCAATTTGAAAGTTGATGTTTTAAAATTTTGAAAATCAAAATAAATATCAAATCATCATGTTCCTTTATAGATAATCATAAATGATGAACAATCATTATTTGAAGGGCTATTCCAACAATTAAAAATTTAATGGGACTTAAGGGTCTAAAAAATCTTAGTTAGGACTTAATGGAGTATAATTTAATAAATTAGGACTGGTGTGTATATACCCCTAACATAATTTAAGAAAAACGACACTGGGATGTAATTCTTCCAATAATTAATTTTTCATTTTTTATTAAAAATACACTTATCAAATTTGTTTGGTTTAAATTTTAAATTACTTTTGACTTTTTTTTTTTTTTTTTTGCTCTTTCAATAAACTCTTTTTATTTTTTTTCATATTTCAGTCAAATACACAACTAAAATTTTATGAAAAAAAAATTACTCAAAACAAAACACTATGGAAAATGCGTCATTTTTTTGTTTTTATTTTTGACCTTTCATTTTTAGTGATTTTTTGTTTTTTGCAATTTTCTTCACAGAGTTTACCTTTTAGGTGCATTTACAATTAG